GAGCAAAGGAGTGATCACACAGTTAGGCACTGGTGGCAGACCTCGATGGCAGTAAACTTCGGTGGGGTTGAGCCACAGCAGTGATTTCTCTATCTAGGAGTAAGAACGCATGGGATAGCTGAAAGCTGAACCTCAGGACTGGTATTTCAGTCTTTATCTTCAGTATAAGCATGTGGAAAGATTCTAAAAATCACTATAAACAGATCAGAAGTCTAGTTAGCTTCCTATCCCATCACCAAATGTCATATATACTGTCTAGAGGACGGTGTAAGAAAATTCCCTTAATAAAGCAGTATTTTGTAACTCCTTCCCAGCTTCCAGTAAGGTGCAGCTTAGGGACATCCCAAGAGAGTGGTGTAATTTTTAACAGCCCCTGGTAAATGTTTGCCTCACATCTTTATTGAACCCATATTTTGGTGAACTGCTGCTTTTATGTAAAACAATGTCTGAAAATTAAGGAGGACCGTTTTGAACTCTATTTGGAAAAAAATCCCTAGCGATTCCTTCCACCTTTCTCATCGTTTCCTCCCCACAAAGGTATTTCTTTGGGATGGCTGTAAACAACAGCCACAGGGATAGCAATTTTGTGTATTTTGCCTTCTCAAAAGGCTTTGTAGGCAGATGTCGGTGTAGTTCAGGGAACCAGCAGTGGTATTGGCATCATTAGGCTGAAAAGTATTTTATTTTTAAAAACTACGTATGTTCCCACTTTGTTTTCTTGCTTTCTTCTAAGAAAATGATTCATGATGAAAGGGGAAAAAAGTCCTTCTGTGACTCTGTAATTAATAGAATCCATGCACACAGAATCTCAGTTACACACTCAAAGCTCAAAATGAGCAAGTCTTCCTCCACTTTTCGTCAAGCGAGACTTCTGCGCTGCTCCTGCCCTGCCAAAATTAATAGTCGAGCTGATGCATGTGTGCTCACCTCCTTCAAAGAATGGACTGAGTCCAAGCAATTCTTCTGCTACGATAGCCAGGTCTCCAAGAGACTACCCAAACAGCAGGGTCACGGGCTATCCCCTGCCCACCCGCAGCTCCACGGTACACGTCTCTGCGTCCCAGCTCAGCGCTGCCAGCTACGTAAGAATACGTGAAAGGATGTGAGGTCTTGAACTTCTTACTCTGGCTATAGCTACCTGTCAGGAGCAGCTGAGGCTCCCTCATAGGGCTGCTATTCTGCTTAGGAAAAAACCTGTAAGAATTTCTTTCCTTAGGGCTATGCAGGCAGGATCACAGGAGACAAGAGAGCAGGTTGGGCAGCATAGATGGTGGATGAATTAGTGCACAAACACAAAGACAGAATTTTGTCACAGCATGAATGTTATTATTTATCAAATAGTGCATTTCCCAGTAACTTATGCTTTTAAGAAACCAGAAGGAAAACAGGGTTCTGGATGTTTCCTTTTGACAGACTGTATTTCACATTTTGGGCAATAATCTTGGACCCTCTGTAATTCTTTCAGCCAAAATATTCAGACCAGCATGCCAAAAATCATACTTAAAAACCCAGATTTAAGCAGCTGAATCAGAGTGTCTTGCTTTTCTCAATTTTTATTCAGAGTGAGACTTATGTTAATGCAACAAGAGATGAAGATGCCAGTATTTGACATATATTTCATATAATGAATAAGATGGTTTTGCAAAGAGAAAACACGAGTGAATAAATCTGTGGATTATATACGTGTTTATCCTTCACAAAGGTTATTACAGAAATTTAGGTTGCTTTTTATTAAAGCTTCTTCTGAGATGTTTGCAGCTAGCCATTCTCAAGGATTACCACCAAAGAGGATGAATACTTACCAATAAATTGATTAAAAGAAATGTTATGCTCATCCAAATTGTTTAATCTCTTCTCCATTTGCCTGTGTATACAGGCATACTGAGCTGGCAGCTGCCGTATGGGGAAAGAACGCCAAAAGGATGAGTGTTCTCACCAATGTGTAGGAGTAAGCAGCTTTTCTTTTGGTAGGTCACTGCCTCATTTGTATGTTAAATTTATACCGAGCCAGTTCTGAAAGGTTTAATTTCAAGAATGCTTTCAGTAGAAAAGACCTATTGCCATTTTTCTCCAATCTTCAAAGCATCTTCAACCAATCACAAGCTTTTCTTCTGAAAATAAGGCTAATCTGCCTATTTTACGTAGGAAATGAGGAAAACAGCTTCTGAAATAAAGACTAATTGTTTGTATGACAACTTGTACTTGTGGCTTCAGGGTGTAATTCCTTTTACTGGAGCTAAGAAAAGCCCATGAGAAAGAGCACCACCTGCAAGTGAAGAATTCCCTTTGGGCAGGACTGTACCAGCAGTTGGTGTAACTGAAAGCAAAGGTGTGACGTCCTGGTCAATGAAGAATCAAGTCTGCAGCATCACAGTTGTGTTCTAGTCAAGAGTCTGGCCTCACATTGTTTTTGGAGGAAAACCACAAGTGGTGGTGGTCCCGTGACTGAGGACTGCAGCGTAATACACGTGTGCAAGAAAGGTGAACCTTACAGGCATTCTGACTGAACAGGCATTTTCCACTTGCAGTTGCATTCCCTCCATGGTCATGTTTCTATGCGAGATATTTCTTAGAAATGTAAAATGACACTGGAGATGGAGTAAAATAACTGTAACAAAATCTCCAGGTTTCACTGAACTACCAGCAAAATGGGACAATGGCCAACTAACAGCAAGAGCCCATCCCCTGAAATTCAGGACCAGTATAGAGACTATTTGGCAGCAACTGTAAGTCTGCAGTAGTATGATCCTCCCTTTCAGACCATAGTACCTAGTTCTAGGGAACACTTCATCCAGTTCACTTTACATCCAATCTCATTGAGAACATTAAACCCTCTTAGAAATAGTTAAAAGAACCAAGGGCAAGAAAAATGCCTTGTGTGTTTTATCTGAAATAGGAAAGGAATTGTTCGTCTTGTGTGAGGTCTCTACAAATACTTCTGGAGGCCAGAATTTCTGCTTCTGCTAGCAGAACCAGTTGGATGCAGAAACCACCACAACAAGCCCTGGGAATTGGGTTGAAAAGCAAGAACAGCCCAGTCCTACCCATCCTTTTTTTCTTCTGTACTGAACTGCACAGAGGAGTCACCCTCACCAGACTGTAAACATTTCAGATAGGAACAGCAAGATCTATGCATGTTCATCTGGGACAGGGATTTCCCTGTAGCTGATGTAGCAGCCCTCCCATTCGCTCTGTACCATACCCTGCGTGTGTGGTATTGACTGGCATCCTTGTGAAAGTCCTGTCAACACTCCTTGTGCTTCTCAGTATGTTAAAATTGTCCTTGCTTTAAGTTCAATCCTCCTTAAACAATACAGCAGCTGAAAGAAAGCTTTACCATCTGAGAATTGGAGTGCTGAAGTATGGAAGTTGATAAAAGAACAAAAAGCCAAGGTGTTATGAAGAGAATTTATTTGATCAACAAAACAAAAACAACACAACCCAAACAAAACACTGAATTTCTGACAGAACCCACCAAAAACAAGAGTGAAGTCAAATACAGGCCCTGTCTCACACAAGTTTTATAGATAAATCACACCAGCCAAATGGGGGCCTTCAATTTCAGTGCTCAATTTAACTCCATCTTGGTGCATCTGAAGCCAAGGAGGTGGAACTGAAATGAAAATGCTGTGCAGAAAAACCAGAGTAACTACTAGTAAAACCAAAGATATTCCAGTCTGCACCACGGACCTGCTTTGGTGCACCTGGTTGCCACAGAGGACACAGCAGCTGCTGGTGTGCATTACAAACTACATGTGCTACAGAGATACACCAGACACAGAGGGCATGAACCGAAGTTTGAATTTTAGTTGTGAGCTTCCTCTGTTGCCAGAAAGCCACATGGCTACTTGCCACAATTACAACAGCATAAGGTTCCTTTGCCCCAGCGTGGAAATGCTGCTTAGCACAACCTGCAGCACACAGCCATACGCAGCAGCAGCGCTTCACAGCGAGTCCCTGGGAGTGTTCAGGTACCATTTTCTAAGAGTCACCACCAGTATTGAGGGGCTGCAGATGGACGAGCACAGAGTCACATCTAATGTGCCTGCGTCTGAGCTTTGTGTGTACAATGTGCAGGTGGGCACTGGAAAGCTGCCCCTAAAATAAACGTAGCCATCAGGGTTACATGGCTTCCACACCTTCACAGACACTGCAGATACACCCTTAGTCATCAGCTTCATGCCTCTTCTTTAAAGCTTCACACTAATTAGATACTTTTTATTAGAATGGCAAAAAAATCACTGCAGACACTGGCCCCAAGAGTGTTTTGTCCTCTTTAAAGTTTCTCTTCTGCTCACCAGATCTCTAACAGACAGGTCCACATCAGGCTTCTCCCCCACTCCCCGCAACCCCTTCACTAAAATATTTTTCTGTGTAATGCTGCTTTAGAGTCCAGCTCCCGCCAGACAAGTATCAGTCTGGAAGAAAAACTTCCTGCCTCATAATAAACCTTTGAAAAAGAATTCAAATGGCTGAGCTACAGTAATTTGATGTTGTATCTTGGCCAGTGGGCTCCCGGTTCTCAAAAAAATCAAAGATTAGCAGACATAACACTGCAAGCTGTCTTGTGTTAAACAGGATCCAAATGGTACCATGCCAAATAAGACTGAAAAAAGGGATCACTCAGTTACCCTACAGAGGACGAGCAGACAGCTCGGACAGCGTTTCACAGGGCTTTACCTTTCCCCACTTCACCAAGTACAGACGTTGTTACGCTCCTTGTAAGCACAGCCAGGGCAAGTGGCTATCAAGTGAGGGCAACTATGACTTCAGACATGTTGGATACTACTCTCCCTCCCATTACTACTTAACAACTGTATGTAGGTAGAATGGACTGTGACCATTGCTGACAGACAGTGTAAAAGGAACACAGGGCAAACAAACATGCTGCCCTTGCCCAAAATCCAAGCCAAACCAAAATTTGCAGTTTACTCTTTCAGCAGCACAACCTGAGGCACCCATCCCTACAGTTCTGCCACGTGAGAGCCCAGCCCAGGCACTCACAGCTTAAGGGGAATAATGGGCCAGTATTTGGGCTGCTTTTTGTCACAGTTTTTATCAAAGACAAGCTGCATAGCAGCCTCCATTGCCTGGATTTTGTCAGCTTCAGCACCATACAGCTGCTTCATTTCTGCCATTCGCCTCTCCCCAGGTCTTTCTGCAGGCGGCTCCACAGAACGCTCCATCCTTTTGTGAAGGTCTTGATCAGCCTCCACATACTGCTGCTCAGCTTCCAGCTGCTGCTGCCTCCCTACACAAATAAACCACAAGAGATGTAAATTAGTGAGCTATCAACTGATCACATTTTAACTTTTTAAATATTACATATTCAAATTTGTGCTGGGTCTTAAGGGCCAAGGTCCACACATTCTAGGGTGCAGCCAACTTCTGCAACCTAGAAAACAAATTGTATGTTACTTTTCTTGCCGTGCTTATTATGCATAATGACAAATTCCTATTAAATGTCATTACAAAATCAGGCTGGTGGAAGTGTGGAGAGAGGAAGAAGATCCTGGAATGAAACCCTAAAATGTGTAGAAAACCTTTGTGTTAGTAATAACAAGTAAAAATCAGCATTGCTTCATTTCTTCCCAACATACACATGCCCTGAAAAGTAAAAACACCCCCTACACCTCTCCCCCTGAAAATACCCCAAACCCTCAACAACCCCAAACAAGTGACTTGTTTCCTAAGTAATGACTTAGCAGCTGAGATAAGGCAACAATGCACAGGACAATGGAACTTTTGTTAATCACAGCCAAGATAAAGTGTAATCAGTTACTACTCTCTGAAAATGAACAAATCAGTCTGTCATGCTCTGCCACTAAATGCATCCATGGAAACCCAGCTGTGAGCATTGTGTTTAGATAAACTAATCAAGCTCAGCAAGTGCACAAGCCCGGTGAAGTTCAAAACTGGCAGCCCTACTGCTATGGCTCTGAAGACAAACCAAACCAGCATCAAACATAAATCCCTGCACAAAGTCTTTTAAAGAGGATTTTAAATAGTTCAGAGGCAAAACATTTGGACCAATCTGTCAAAATTCCTCTTTGGTAATCCCGACTGGGAAGCAAGGACTTGATTTTGCATGTCCAAACTTACCTCCATTTCTGGGTGCTGCTCTGATGGAACAAATGATGCTCTGTGCAATTAAAACACCCAACTACTATACAAGACTCCTCTCTTATGGGGACGTTTCTACAAGATGGGAAAAAATAAAATCACCTGGGAGGTGAACTCCTTTGCCTACCAGTGAACAAATTATGGTTCTCAAAACGTCACCACAGAAACAGTTCACTACTAATGACAGAAATTTTTATTCTAAACATCAAAAGAGAGTCCACAGGTCAGGATGCATCAGCCACACACAGGACATGCTTCTTGGCCTTTGGTGCCATGTACCTCTTCCCTCCCTCTCCCACGGCTTTCACGAAATACGACATCTGAAAACCCTAACCCAAAGTTAAGTCTCCTGACGTATCTCTGTCAAACATCTGCAGTTTATATTTACACTGGAAAGTACTGTAGAGACCAGCCAGCTGCCTGTCCATCAGCCTTCCTAAATGAATTATTCTCTGTACCTCAGTGACAGAAAAAAGATATTAAACAGTATCATCAGAAACGTCAATTTTGGCATCTGCTTGTCTGACAGGGATGCTGAAAGCTTTCGTCCTGACATTTCAAACACCATCCACGGTTTTGTGTTGGTAGTTGAAGGGCAGGAGGGTTTGAGGGGTTATTAGCAACCTGTTCCAGACAGCTGTCCCATTTTCTGTGATTTTGCTTTAAGGGCACATCCCTGAAGTGGGCTGCACTGCCAGAATTCATGGGGAGACATACACTAGAGGCCATATGTGGTTTTGGAAGAATCAGATTTATTTGTTGTCAGGCCATTTTGAACCAGAAGGTTTGAATTAAAAGAACTAACATTGAAGAGTGTCCAGCACTTGGAGAAGAGGCTACAGCACCCAGGCTGTGACTACACAGGTCACTTGCACCCCATTGAAACACCTCTCGGGACACCAGACTGCCCACCACTAGGTCACAGGCTTTTAAGCATGAACATGATGCAAAGTACACTGAGTGGCATTAAGACAAACAAAAATCTATGTTAGAACACCAATGTCTTCTACTGTAGATTACACAGCAAAATTCTGGCAGGGCAATGAACTGAACCCGTATTTGTTGACTCTCTTGGGCCACACAGATAATTCCTTGTAGTTCTCTATTGCCCATGGAAATTTTTTATCCACCAGTTCCACAGCTGCATGCCAGAGACAGCTGCTTCCTGGCTTGCTTGCCACCAAACGCTCTCCCATAGCTCAATGAACACAGGAACACTTAAGAAAAAATAATTTCTCTGGAGATAGATAATGAATTATTCTGTTTGGAAATTAAATGGGTCTCTAGCAGAAGCTTTATGATGAATGAGTGTATTACAGCTTAGAGTGCATTGCTCTCCATTCTGCAACACAGAGTACTTCATAAACCCACAGCTCCTAATGTTAACTATCAAAATAATAATACCCATTTAAATTTCATTCTCAAAATTACCTAACAAACGTCGAGTGTATGTTTTACTTTATACTAATCAGATGTACTGCCCTTAACTTTCAAACCTACTATTCCACAACTACCGGTTAAAAAATTCCCAGAGTGATTCCGTTACAGTCTGAGACATGTAAATCAGGGTTCCAGGCAGAGGTGGGGGACAGAAATCCACCACAGGGACCCCAAGTTTTTTGTACCAAAGGCTGAAGTTTGAGTATAGCCCGTGGCAGCTGTTGCTGGTAATACCACTGTAGCTGTGTGGAACGCTGCAGTTTCAGATCAGTTACCTGTGGAGAGATACTGCCATGACAAACTCCACCATCAGCCATGGCACTATTTGCTGTCACGGGCAGGCAAGGCAAGAGCAGCCATGGAACTAAGCGGGTGTTTGAACTACTGCCTCTCCAAAAGCGGCACCTCCAGCCAAACGCAGAGGTAAGAAATAGATGACAGCAGAGAAAGTTTTGTCCTGTTTTGATGCACACTAAACTGTCTTCGGTGGTGCAGGGACTGGGAAGTAGAACTGCTCTTACTTCCAGCAGCCTGGGTTCTTTCCATTACCCCACAACTTCCTTCAAAACCAATACAAGGCAATGCAACTTGAGCTAAATGTGCAACTACTGCTTCATCAAAACGATGACAACAAACATCTGGCAGGAAAAAAAACCAAACACAATTATAAACTGTCTGTAGTCCTAAACCTATAGAGGCAATCAGGATTTCTCTGAAGCAAGCACCAAACATTCAGCAATGAATTATCGAGGTTTATCAGAACACTCATTCTCAGCCTGCAGCCGTGAAGTCCTCAGCTCATTCTCAAATCAGAGTTTCACACTCCAAAATCATCAGTCATTCTGTTACCAAGTTATAAACGTGAAACCAATAATTTTTACACAATTTTAAGTAGTTCCTCCTTCCACCTCCCACAGACTAAAATGTACCTTTTTTTTTTTTTTTTTTTTTTACAGCATTCAGCTTCACTACTGCAATGCTTCCCCCCATCATGGAACAGTATTTTGCAAATATCCACAAGGCAGGCAAGCAGGCAGCTCCACTGGTGGTTGGTTCGGGCACAAAGGAAAAGCATTGCTGGTATTTTCCTAATTCGTCAGCTCCATTTCCTCCCAAAGATGCTCCTCCTCTCTTGAAGCTCTTTTCAGAATTAGCTTATTCCTACCAAGTCCAGTTCTGCTAGGAAGTAGTCATCACTTGGCCAAAACCAGTTGAGACATCTTTTTCTGAACACAGTAAATAGTCTTTTTTTCTTCATATTTACAGAATACTGAGATCCTCTACCTGACTCATACTGCATCCTGGGACATAATCAGTGACTCCAGGCCTTCTAAAAAAAAGTTTTGGATTGTTATTCCCTTCCACACCTTTAATGGATGACTTTTAATCTGGGATATACTAGTTGAAAAGAAAATTTAACAAATACAGACTACCACCTCCAACCTCAGGGACTGCCAACAGTAGAATCAACAGTAACTTAGTATCCTCGCTATTCACTGCATTTGGGGCTCCACATGTACACAGATGCCCCCTTGAGATACTATGACCTAAACCCTTCAAGACTTAAGCTGTTTTTTCCCCATACATCCTTAGAAACTCAGATATCTTTGTTTCTCTTATTTTCTAAAAAGGAAAACATGATATACTTTCCGTAAATCTGATCCAGTTTGCTCTTCTTTCTTTGTACTATCCTTTGAGAAGCTTAAATAGTAATCAGTAAAAAAAAAAAAATTCCTCTCTGAAATTCATACTTTTCTTATTAAAAGGAAGAAAAAAACCCCAAACAAAACAGGGAAAAAACCAACCTCAAAACCAAACTCCAAATAAATTCCCTTATTTGGAACGAAGTCTCCATGAAGAGACTTTTCAACATTAAGAGGACATAAAAGTAGTAAAAGTAATTACCTATGTTAGAATTTAATTAAAGATTCATACCCAGCACTGCATGGTTTCTTGGACCATTTTTAGCTCTTAATACTTATACATCCAGCCCTTAGCTCCCTGTAGCCAGTGATCCTACACAACCCGACGACGCTTCCCACACAGCACCCTTCCCCACAGCTCTCTGGGTGCACAGGCCCTGCAGTCTGTCAGGTCCTACCCACACAGAGGTAGCTACAGCAGGAGACCCAGGGCCTGATCCTCCCAAGTGTCAAACGGCCTTTACTCACTTTCAGTTTCCTGCTTAGCATGTTATTCTTTAAGGAAAAGCTGGAGTTTTCCCAGCCTTGATCTGTTTTTTCTTTTCCATGATTTCAGACTGAGCTATACCCCTGTTCATGTATTCGTCTGCTTATTTCAAACGATGAGTGACTTTCTGGTACTGTTACATGTGTACTTTCTGAGCTTTCTCATCTTGTCTTAAATGCTACCTGAGCTGATCTTGAGCAGCCCACGCCAATGGTTAAAATCACCACCCATTTCTACTGATTAAAAACTCATAGTTCTCTCCTTGAATGCCACTTCCCACAAGCTTGTCTGCTGTGTTAAATGTTCTGCCCACACAGGCTTCTCAGTGTAAAATGCCAGCTTCTTCAGCTCCCTGGAAAAACTAAGTATAATAATAAACTTGAGTTTTTCTGAAGTGATCGCATCAGCCCATTTTACTGTGCCCGTGCTTGCATGAACCAGGCATACCATGGGAAAATCAAAACCTTTGCCTAAAGGAATTTCAACAAAATAAGGATT